AAGAGAGAGGAGAGAGAGAAAGAGAGAAGAGAGAGAGAAGAGAGAGAAGAGAAAGAGAGAGGAGAGAGAGAGAAAAGAGAGAGAAGTGAGAGAGAGAAGAGAAAGAGAGAGAGGAGAGAGGGAGAGAGACAGATGGTGTTAATAGGCAGAGAACTCCAGATAGACCCTACTAGCATTGCTGTCCATCTATCCATCCTAGACCCTGCCCTACCCTTGACCCTTGCAGTCTCCCCTGCACTGTACTTGGGCAGCTTGGCTCTGGCCCTGCAGCCCGACTCTGCGGCAGTATCTCCTGCAGAGCTCCGGCCTGCATCTGTCATTTCAGCCAGCAGAAACCGGTGCAGACCAGCTGGGTTCCCAGCTGTGGTGTCTCGGTCCTCTTAGGAACACCTAGAGCTCTGCTAGCAACTATGGCCTCTCAGACCCCACCCCCCATAGCCATTCAGTGACCTGGAAGGATGGATGGATGGATAGGTAGACAGACAGACAGACAGATAGATAGATTTACTGTATGACATATATGATTGAAAGTTAATATTATAGTAAGAGTTAGAATATAAAAACTGTGTCTGCTTTAGTTGACTATCAAGAAAAGCAGGATCAATTGGAAAACTGTTGTCAAACAAACTACCCCCTTGTGAATTTATTATTATTCGGGAAATTCTGATGCTGGGAAAAGGATGCAAATGTTTAGCTACATCTGTGATACATAGGCATTCACGCCACTTTACAGTTATTAAATAGCAACTTCAGATTAACACTGGAGGTCTAGGACAGAGGAGAGCAGGCTATCCCACTACACAGTGTGACACTGGGGGTCTGGGGTAGAGGAGAGCAGGCTATCCCACTACACAGTGTAACACTGGGGGTCTGGGGTAGAGGAAAACAGGCTATCCCACTACACAGTGGGATACTGGAGGTCTAGGGTAGAGGAAAACAGGCTATCCCACTATGCAGTTTCCCCCTTTTATGGGTTTGAGATTGAGGAAGGTGATTTAGGGGCTGGGATGTACCTCAGTGGTGCAATGCACACCCAGTGCAATCAAGGCCCTGCATTTCTTCCAAGCGCACACCAATAGACTAATTTCCAGGCAACGGAGGGGCTATGTAAACCATGTGGGTCAAGTCCTCCCTGGATATGGAGGGAGGGTCCAGGCTCCATCACACGGGAAGGAAACGGTATGTACATTTCTACTTCCTGGGGTTATCCTGTGCATAGGTGTCCACCTGTTCCGCAAAGCAAGCCTGCCTGTCGGACTTAGAGCGATGGCTTTATTTTTCCTGAAAACCCATGTATTTAAATAGAATTTTGTTTATTTAAATATCCTGTGAACTGAAATTGTGCTAAGTGCAAATGAGTAGACTTCATGAGAGGCATTTAACCTGTCAGCCTTTAGTTTAAGGAAAGGGAATTTGTATTTATATAAAAGTAGTGGTTAGTATAGAAAAGAAACGAAAGGCCTCTATCGAAAGCTTTCCTGGGACAGAGGAGACGGCTCAGTCAGTCAGGCACCTGTCTCACAGACACGAGAACTTGAGTTCAATCCCCAGGACCACGGCAAAGTTCTGGGAAAGGGGCCCACGCTTGCAATCCTGGCCCTGGAGAGATGAGGACAAGAAGATCCCGGGTGGGGGTGGTCTGCTGGCCGCCCAATTAACCCTATAGCCACTGCAGGGCACCGTGTTTCTGAAGCAGACGCTCCAGCTTGCCCTCCGACCTCCACATACATGTGGTCATGCATGCACATGAAGCAGCACATACGTGGACATGCACCCGCGCATATCCGTATGCGTGTTGAAAAAGACTTTGAAAACTATTGCCTCAGAATTCTAAGTTTTCTATGTCGTGTTTTCTTAAAGCGTGGCATATTTAAACTAAGACAACGTGCCAATCTGTGGTGAAGATAATGTGTAAATCCAGCCTTTGTTGTTGAGATGAGTCTTGTTTTGTAGTCCAGGTTACCCTGGAACTCGGCCTCTTCCTGCCTCCATTCCTAAATGCTGGGATGGCAGGCTTGTCACGCCGTGCAGGCTTGCAATTTTGCTTTTAACCTCTGAAAGTGTGAAGCTTTCTTTAAAACGAAATTTAATTTCATTTAAATTTAAAAATGAATGGCATTCATTCATTCAGTCACACCTTCAACACGTATCAAGCAGCAAACATACTACAGACTGAAGATCACGTTAGGCAAACATATAATAATAGTAAGTGAAGGGGATGGAAGGATGGCTCAGTGGTTAAGGGCAATTATCTCTCCTGTAGAAGATCAGGGTTCGACACCCACAAGATGGCTCACAACAGTCTGTAATTCCAACTCCGGGAGATTTGATGGCCTCTTTGCGCCTCTGAGACTCCCGTGTAAACCCACACAGGTGTAGATTGTGAGCATTTAATAATCTAGGCATGTTTAAAGACACAGCTTCATTTAATTTCACAGCTCTATGAGGGTGTCGAATTCACCGACGGGCACGACAGCTGAGTCGGAGGACTCCATTGAGCTAAGGCAAAGCAGTGTGTTTCATTGTCCCTCTCACCTCGATGAGAGGTCACGACATCTCACCGTGCCCAGCACACAGGAGGGTAAAGACAAGTTCTTGGTCCTTTTGACCTTCAAGCAGAGTCTGATGTGGCCGGCCAAAACAAAACAGGAAACAACCTACGAGTGCCCTTAGGAGGCTCTCGTGAACCCTGTGAATGGTGAGTGTGAGCGTGGATGCAGAGACAGCAGGAGGGGGGCGGCGATGGACTCAGCCCAAGGAGGGATTGCTCAAACTTCATGAAACCTCAGAGCTGGGCACTGAAGGAAGGGGTGGCAGTTTGCCAAGCGGACAAGAAGAGAGTCCAGACAGAAGGAGTTCTGTAGTCACCAGACCTCTGGCCTCCCTGATGTCAGGTCAGGCTCTGGACCAGCAGAGGCTTGGACAGTGGCTGAATGTGGGATGCTCTGAGGATGCTGGGACCCAGACGGAGGGCGGGGCTGCTCCTCGCATGAGGACTCTAAAGGCTAAGCAAGAGCTTTCCGTGAGACGCCCTGGACTCCCCTGGGTACTGAGGTTTCACAGGGAACTCCTACTTCCTCTGAGGTTAGAAGAGGAGGAGAGGAGAGAGCCAGGTGCGGTGTTACATGCCTGTAGCCCAAAGCTACTTTAGAGACTGATGCAGGAGAACTACTTTGAGGAAGGTGCTCAAGTCTGGCCTGGGCAAAGGGGGCCGGGGGTTGGGCGTGGTCCAGGCAACAGTGGGGAGCGGTCTGGGCAGCTCCACTGGGCCTTGCTTTAACCACAGATTACAGAGGAGTTCCCTCGAGACCACTGTTGCTAGGTTACTCTAAAATATCAAGCGGTAGAGAATAGATTTCCTCTTCCTCTTCTATTTTACCAGTTCCTTCTATGAGAGAAGAGGTTAGCGCTTGCTCGCCAGCTCCATTTACCTCCTCTGTTGGCTGTGCATAGTTAAGACAGCACCTGCTCGGAGCTCAATGACTGTCCTGGAACTAGACAGAGAGCAAGGAAATCAAGGCGCCCTGTTGGCAGGCCTGGAGGACACAGAATGGATTTTCCATGGAAGCCTGACCACGCATCTCACTATCCCTGAAGTGAAGTTTGAAATGACTTTTAAAAGCTTCAATTTAAAAACTGAAGCCTGGGTCAGTCAGCTGGCTCAGCAGGTAAAGATGCCCCTGCCAATCTTGAGAACCAGGTTTGATCTCTAAGACCCGCGTGGTGGAAGGAGAGAACTGAGAAGACAGAGAAGCTGTCCTCCGACTTTCACACATGCACCAGGGTGTGTGCATGTTTGCGCACACACACACACACACACACACATACACACAAACACACAACACATACAAATATAATTTAAAACAAAACAAAACAAAACCTGGAGCCAGTCATAGTTTACTAGTTCGGGACCCAGAGAAGCCTGAATTCTAGTTTCTGCTCATTCTTTACTATACTTTAAGAGCACACCTGTGGCCAGGCAGTGGTGGCGCACACCTTTAATCCCAGCACTCGGGAGGCAGAGGCAGAGGCAGGAGGATCTCTGTGAGTTCAAGATCAACCCGGTCTACAAGAGCTAGCTCCAGGACAGGCTCCAAAAGCTACAGAGAAACCTTGTCTTGAAAAACAACAACGGCACACCTGTGACCGGGAGTTTCCTACCCCGGTTCCAGTTAGCCATCTTTAGTCAGTTAACAATTTCCATACGGACGGCAGCTTCAGTGGGAACAAGAGGAATGTTTCTCTCTGCTCTTCTCAAGGTCAAACTGAGGTGTGGGGTGGGACAAGTAATATCTATCATAGAAGCGTGGACCGAAGACCCCCCATCATGGGAGAGTGAAGAACTCTTCAAACCTTTATCCTTAACACCAATCTGACTCACACCTCGCCTGCCTGACCCCTTCCTCCCACAAAGTGAAATGTCACATTGCTCTAATGGGCAAGGTTCTCCAAGACCCTGGTCTCAAACATGCTCCAATAACAGCAGGATATTATAATTTCAATGTAGACTGAAAACTTTTTTTTTTAAAACACACACACACACAGAAGATGGCATTATTAACTTCTGAAAGCTTCAGTGGGATATAGCACTCATCAGTTATACTTTACCCCCGGCACCAAGCGGATACTCACATGTCTGGAAGACACTCTGAGATCCTTGGCTAGGAGGCTCTGCATAAAAGGAAAAAGCATGTTGTTTCTGGCAGCTCATTGAGGTGTAAAGTCATCATCCCAACACGGAAATGCAGGAGTTACCTACCTTGCTTGTGTCTCCTGCTTTTAAGGTAGACCACAAGAAGAACCACAGATAAAAGAATGACCAGCGCCGCCAGTGGGACCGCCACCATTAGCACGAAGTCCTGCAGGCCTGGGGACTCATTGGTGTGTGTAGAATTCGTATCTGCAGTTAACACTTCTGTGCTCACCAGAGCCAAAGCGCTGGTTGTCTCTACATTCGTCGTTTCTTCTTCTGTGGTGCTGTATCCTGAGTGCTCTAACTCGTCCTCGGTGCCTGAACACAAACAAGATCAAGAATGCCATGGTCTGAGACAGGCCGACATGTCACGGTTCCCGTGAGTTTTAACTATATCCTAGATGTGTTCGGTGGTGAATGTGATCCACTGGTCTTGGCTTTCCCGTTCAGTGCGACATGGAGTATTGGTTAGACCTCAATGAAGCTCAAGCTGGGAGTGTATTGAACATGGAGTCAACGCTGGAGGTAACCCTTCCACAAACGCAGGCTGTTCAGCCTGAACCAGGTTCTTCAACAAAACTTACAGGGCATTAGAGGCTTTGTCACTTCATGAACTATTTCCCAAGCCATAGGGCATCAGGATATTGTCATACGGTTTCTGAGTAAATTCAAACATACACTTATAGGACATGCCATAAAGAAAACATCTAGATGTAAATAAATTGGCCTGGAGGTATAACTTGGTGTAAGAAGGGTACATCCTTCCCAACATAAGGCCTGGGTTCAGTTTCTAGCACCACAAAAGGATGGATGGATGGACAGATGAATGGATGGATGGACAGATTGATGGACGGACAGACGAACGGATGGATGGATGGACGGACGGACAGACGGACGGATGGATGGATGGATGGATGGATGGACAGACAGACAAAGAGTAGACAGCTAGAGATAGGAATGCATTCTGCAGTAATTTTTTTTAATAAAGGGCACTTATCCATCGAAAGGAATTCTTTGATATTGAGATGACTTGGTGTTTGGTGCTGTGTTTTACATTTTGCCCAGCACCCAGTCTGCCCTTGAGAGGGTCTGACATATCCTCCTGAATTTTAAATAAGGACATGATGTATATCTCATTTGTGAAGTAAGACTCTCAAGGCAGTCTCCTGGAGAGTAAGAAAACCCACCGTGTATAGCTGTTTGGGGAAATGCATGGGTGGGGGTGTCACAGTTAGCATCGATTGTCAAGGTGACAGGATCTGGAATCATGCGGAAGGCAAACCCTGGATGGGTCTGTGAGTTTCTAGACGAGGTTCATCGAGGTGGGAACGCCCACCCTCACTGTGCTGGGGTCCAGGTGAGTAAAAAGGTGACTACCCCTCTCCGTTCTGACTGTACACCCAACATCACAGGCTGCCTCCCTCTCCTGTCACGATGCCTCATCTGCCCTGATGGACTGAATCCTCGACCTGGGACCCCAGATAAACTCTTCTCTTCTGAAGTTATTTTTGTCAAAGCAACAAGAAGAATTATTGCTGCTGTCGAGCTTTCCCTGCTTCAAGGCCTAAGAAAGATGACCCTGTCTGACCTTGCGTGCCATCTAAAGACCCTTCACAGAATGGGAAGGGACCTTACCTGGACCCAGTGTTGAAGATGTGGGTGGAGAGATATGGTTGTTATTATAGTTGTTATTTTTACTCTTTGCTCTTCAGGGGCACACCACTCAGCTCCCAAATAAAATTAAGGAGACTTATTCTTACTTAGGAATGCCCAGCCTTAGCCTGGCTTATTTCTAGTCAGCTTTTCTTAAATTATCCCATCTACCTTTTCCCTCTGGGCTTTTACCTTCTCTATTTCTGTTTATTTTTTTCCTTCTTACTCTCTGTCTGGCTGTGTGGCTGTGTGGCTGGGTGGCTGGCCCCTGGCAATCTCATCTCTTTTTCTCCCCACTCCCTCTTTATCTTCTCCTTCTCTGCTGTTAATCCTCTCTTCCTCTCCCGCCTGGCTGTTGGCCATTCAGCTCTTTGTTAGACCAACCAGGTGTTTCAGGCAGGCAAAGTAACACAGCTTCGCAGAGTTAAACAAATGCAACCTAAAAGAATGTAGCACATCTTTGCATCATTAAACAAATATTCCACAGTGTAAACAAATGTAGCACATCTTAAATTAATATTCCATGACAGGGGGACTTTGTCCTGTCGTGGTGTGGGGCTCTCTCATACTCATCCTGGTCCAACAGAGGAGGACACATCAGTAAGTGAGAGTGTCTAAGGAGAAAGCTGTGATGCCCAGGGAGAGGCAAGTGGCTTAAGCTGCAGTCTGGCTAGGCCACGCCTCCACAGGATGACCAGTGGGCAGCGCAGAGCCATTCAATAGCTTGTCTTTCTTTGTAATTGCATGACAGGGACTTCCCTGATCCACATTACAAAAAAAAAGAACGGTTTGCTTACAGTTATGAACTGCTTGTGGATCCCCTTCCAATTCCCGAATTGATCCCTAGTCTCCCATGTGAGGTATTAGGAGATGGGGCCCCACACTCAGCATGCATGTGCAAAGCGTGTGCTCTACACTGAGCTATGTTTTCCTTCCTCCTGCCTACCCCTCCTGCCACTATAGGCGCCATCACCTTTTTTCAGGCTATTTTTTCTGATTTATATATTCATTCATTCATTTATAGAAGGTCTTGCTAAGTAGCCCACACCTGCCTCCAATTCAGGATCCCCTTGCCTCAGCTTCCAGAGTATTGGGGTTGCAGGTGTGTGTCACTACACTCCCACTTCCTGGGAATTTATTAAGAGCCATGCCTTTCCCAGTGGTGGTGGTGCACACATTTAATCCCAGTGCTCAGGAGACAGAGATAGGCGGATCTCTGTGAGTTCGAGGCCAAGGGGAGTGGGGAGAGGGAGGGAGACAGAGACAGAGAGAGAGAGAGAGAGAGAGAGAGAGAGAGAGAGAGAGAGAGAGCCTTTCACCAGGATCATCCCATTTTATAGCCAAGGGACCTGGGAAGAGTTTTCTCCATTTTAGAACCTGCTCCCTGAAAGTACCCACAAAAGGCCTTCTCACCTGTCCTTCTCATAGCATCAAAGGCAGGCGTGAAATGTAAGTGCGATGTACAAACACTAAGTGCTTTCTGGGCCCTGGAGTACACACACACCAGGGTGGCACAGTTGAGACTGCCTTCGTTTCCTACCCATCTTCTTTCCTTGTTTGCTTTTAGCTGCCCCCCCCCAGGAGTCCCCCTTGCCTGCTGTCACTTCCTCATTTATAGTCTAACGCTGGATATCGTTCAGGACGTGAGTGATGGGGATAAAGCTGGTGAAGCTGGGGGTGCGGTGAGTACTGAGTGGGTGTGGGGAGGAGGGGTGTCAGTAAGCACACGGCAGAAGAAATCCTGAAGGCAACGTGTGCCGTGCAGAAGGCCCTGTGGAGATCACCCGTGCCTGCCACCTGACTGCGGGTCTATCAAGAGCTTTCTGAGGTGACCTAGTCGCGGTCACCTCAAGTGGACCCCGTCACAAACCTCCCAGGGCCTTTCCATTTCATCCTTTCTCTGTCTTCGCTCACTGAAAGGGGGCAGGAGCCTCACTTGAAAACAGAGTGAAGCTGCATTTCTTCATCTGACTGTTGAGCCCCAAATCGCCAGGCTCACTTATGAAGGTCCGTTGACTGTATCCATGCCAACAAACATCTGGGGCTCACAGCACAGACATCTGGCGAGAACCCTGGGGGAAATCTTCATGAGTGGGGGACGAAATGAGATGAGATCTAGAAGCTCCAGCAACTGAGCCGTATGTGTGCCTTGTGCCTTCGTCACCATGTTGAGGACGGCCACTGAGTGGAAATGACTTTGCTTCTTGATGGAGCAAGCCAGTGAACTTCTCGTTTTTGAAAGTGGAACAAATGTGTAATCGAGATCTAGGTTTTGCGGTTCTGCTGTGCTGTCTAGTTGGTACTGAGAGCTGGGGAATGAAGACCGTTTGGTTCTGTCGTGCTGGGGAGCTTGTGCATGTGAGCATATGCTCTACAGCTTTACTGAGTTACACCCCAATCCCCCTTGGTTTTGAAATGGGGGTGTATTTTATACCAACTGACAGAATACCACACTGCTGAGGTCCTGTGAAATAAAGCACTGATAAGAGAATGTTTCCTAACTCAGGATGGCATGAGATGCTGTCAGCCTGACCCCTGTTCTGGCCTCTGTTGACTGGGCAGAGGGTGTGGCCACATGATTTAGGTACTTAGAACACGGACAATGAAACGGAACAATGTACATCCAGCACCCCATACTTTCTCCTGCTCTGGAGTAACTGACCATCTATGTGACTTGAGGACGCTCAAAGAAACTAAATGCAAGACTCCCACCCACGTCACCCTGACATCTGCATAAAGCAAAGAGCAAAGAGGGAAAAGCCCAGTTTGTGTTACAAGTAGAAAAGGAAAAGGAACAGGAAACTGAGGGGGCAGAGCATGACGCCCTGGGTGCAACTTCAGCTGGAGAAGCTGTGTGTGTCTACAGTTCCAGCTCTTTGGAGGCAGAGGCAGGAGCATCACAAATTCAAGGTCATCCCTGGCTACGTGAGATTCTATTTCGAACAACAAACTTTAAAATCTAAGGGTACCTCTGGCAGTTCTGCCTCAGCTGTACATCCCTCCTGTGGTTGCCTAAAGTTCAGAGAATAGAACAGCTGCACTGATCAGCCTTAGAAACCAGGCAGTGGTGACACACACCTGTAATCCCAGTAGCCACACTAGTTTGTCATAGAAACTTCAATCCCAGAACCAGAGAGAATTATAAAACAGAAGGAGACCACTCTCAGACATAGCCTCACTCTGAGATTCCTGGAGGCAGGATCGCCATTTTGACTTGAGGTAGAGGGAAGAGCCAGTGGCTGGCTGTTTTGCTCTCTGAAGTTCACGAAAGCTTTAGTTATTAAAATACAAATGAAATATCACTACATCTCCCCCCGCTGGGGCACTTAAAAGCCTGATGCTCTGATCTCACCCCTACCCGTGGTATCTATATCAGATGCTGGGGCGAAGGCTTTGGTGCTCAGGGGACTCCAGGGCACAGCCAAGGCTGAGACAGCCTCTAAGGTCTCTCACTTCTAACCCGCCCTTGGGCGACCTCAACTCGCTCTTGTTCCACTGTTTGTTCTGGAAACTTGACAAGAATCAAAACTCGGGTCCTGGGAGCCTAGTACCCAACCATGAGCAAAGGACAATGATTAAAGGTCTTCATTGAAGGCTGAGCCCCGGGAGACGCTGGCCAGGATATGTTAGGGGAGAAACATGGCAAGCACAGAGCACTGCCCTTG